TACCTATTAACAGAAAGTATAGCTGAGGATGATGGGAAAATATTGGCTTAGGTTTTTGTTCATAAAGGGAAGGAATGGATAAATTAAACTTGAAACCAATCATGGCGCTAGGTTGAATGTTAAGGCCAAATCAATGTTAACGGTGGTGTTGATGTTGTAGGTAAACGCTGAAATCAATCAAATGTACCCTCTGGGGATAATGAATGTTTGTTTCATGTCAATCCATTTAACAGTTGTTAGGATATTTTACTCTACACCAAAGTGGTAAACCAACTAAGCAGCTAGTACGTCTCAAAACATTATAGTGACCTATGAAGGAAACCCAGCTATGATTATTTAGGTTTTTGGATGCAATTTTTGTTTGTAAAATCATACAGTGGGGCTTCACTCTTTCTATTTTAGTGCCAACTCATTCCCGTCATCGCAACAAACCACAGTGAGCAAGATTTATGGCGCAGAGTTGTCAGACAAGTGATAGCGGGACAGTAAAGAAACAAGAAGAGAGATGAAATGTTTTGAGACACTCACCCAGCTGAAAAAACGGATCAATGAGATTGCACACAATTGATTCATAATCAGTGTGACCGTGAGTGATGAGCAAGACAAGTAAACAAACAGATACGAATCAAGAGGACAATAAAATTCAATTTGCGCTGACACAGAGAAAATGTAACACAGCAAGGATTACATTTTGGTGGCCATGCTTGACTGCATGTCTACATTGATGAAAGAGTTCCTAAACGTAGGCTACTTGTTGCTACATTTATACTCACAGACTTGTATCACTTAGTCTCTTGTGTCATAGTGGCACAAATACCCTTTACTCTGTGGCTGCATTTACAAGCGCAGACATTTGTTATGTGGTTGTTTTGGCAGCCAATAAACACAAATCAGCTTTACAACTATTAATAAGCAGCTCCGGCCCATTTGCCATGCTGCCTGCGTTGCTGCATTGACACACAGCGCTGTGATGTACTGTCTGCTACTGCCAGCCGAGGGGCCAGTTGATGAACTTGGCATTAAACCAGAGGACAGCCATTTCTCTTCTCTGACTGGACGGACAAGTGCTGGAAGATGTATAACTCTCCAGGCTCCACTGATGGACTCTTTGCAGCACCAACAGGGATAAGCTGTCAGTTTCCCGCTTCCCGCCGGGCCTTAATAAGACGGAGAGCCGGCCATTTAAAAAACACAACATAACAAATATCACCTCAGGAGGTGCTTGTGAATCTAGGGCGGAGAATCAGGGAGCAGCCAACCAGCTATTCATCTTTAGTCTGGAGACTGGCCAGTGTGTGACACTGTCAAATATTCTCCTCTCTGCCTGACCACTTCTACAGTCTTCTCTTCAACCCTATCCTTCTTAAGGAGACGGCAGAGGGTATAAGTAATAACCAGCATTCCTGAAATTCCACCTTTATTAAACTTTAATTAGGGAATTACCAATTGGGGGAAGAAGTGTTGAGATTTGTAGGAAAAGGGCAAAAGCAGGGGTTCCAAGATCATCAGAAATAGATAACACACGTGTTGTTGTAAGACAAATGTTATCCTGCAATTTTACGGTTTGACCAGCAGAACATAAACATGGGAACCTCTCATGGGAAAAGATCAAATGGGATACTATAGAGACTGGAACCAATTCCAGAGCAATAAGATAGAGGAGATATCTTTGTTTACAGAGATGAACTCTGCATTAACCAATGATAAACCTGCCATGAAAACAATCAAATGGTATTATCCAGATGCAACAGACGCTGCCACATTTCATCTATACGAGCTCCTCTACAGATGGGTAGAAGCTAGCTGTTGCTATATGTCATGTCTGTCACGCTGAGATCCTTTCCTACAGGCTGCAGGGGTTAATCTATACTGCCAGTGTTATCACTGGGGCCCGGCTTATTTTTTACAGCTTTCATTACACTTTTCTATCCTGTAGCCAAATTGGATGGGTTGAGATTTGTCAGGAGAATCATGAGATGTTCTCCCTTCAAACCACAGAGCAGCAGCTGACAGCTTGCTATGGCAGGAGACATCTAAATTGTCTCATTATGGACCTGGGTTATGACAGCCTGAGCCACCGTGTGGGAGAAACAGCACGAGTTGTGTGAGCCGTTGCAGTGAGCTGGAGTGTGCATAGCCACTCCTAAACTAGCCATCGCTCAAACATCAGCTGCAGTCGGGAGATGTGTAGCACTGTAGCTACAGCAGGTATAACTGTGAGACATTTATGTGTCAGTATGTTTTAAACAGTGCTTGTCAGACGTGGTTACCATGCTTTGTAATGGAGTCTTTTTTACTGCTTCATCACCATCCATATGTATAGCCTACCAACAATGTGTTTATTATGATATTGTTGAGCGCACAATATTTTCAAAGATCTAGCCACTTGCTGTAAAAAGAATTACAGCTAAACTTTAAGAATGTTCAAGTCTACTTAGGGGTCACTGGTGGACAATCCAACTCAACGACTTCAGCCCTAGAGCTAATGGAGGATTTCACCTTCTCTCTGTTATTTTGCAATTAATTACTTCTGGCACTTTTCCATTTATATAACCAAATCTAAAACTATTTTTGAAAATAATCTGAAAATGTGAATAAGTAATGTCTGTTTGACCACGTTCAGGCTTTACACAACACAATCAAATTGGACCATTTGAATCATCTTACACAACTTCAGACGTAATACTGCGTACAAACTAGATTGTTTTCGAGCATACAGTTATGGCACCTTAAATACAGAAGACTGCAGTCTTGAGTTTCTGTGTGTTCTAATGCTGGCTTCGTTTCAGCAGAAAGAAGAAGAAGGCCCCCCCATAACACTCAACACAGTGTTTTCACATTGAACCCCCTGGATTTGAAAGAAATGAGCTGAAAGCCTTCAGAATGTGTCAAAGTCCCTCATTCACAATGTATCTGGAGCAATAACAAAAGGATAATGCACAGATTAGTGCTCCTCGGGGCAAGATGGGCTTTAGATGCGGAAATATGCAACACAGTCTTTCCCTGCTGCAAATGAATTAGCCCACTGTTCACCCACAAATATGGTGTGTAATGTGCTTGCGGAAGAAGCTTAGTGTGGATGTGGAACTTGAGATGTCTGGCATTTCAGGGATATACATTGAAAACATTCAGCAAGCTGTCTAGCTCAGTCATGCAGTTCGCCGTTATTTAAGCCTGAAAGCTGGAAACACTTGTATTTTTCCTCTTTCTCTACTGAGAGTTGTTCTTTCAAAAAGGTTTTCAAAATGCCAGAGCTGAAGGTCAATAATTAAGAGAGGCTGGAGAGAGACTTTGCTTCCTAATGGTGTTTTTGAATTCTCCTCTTGAAGAAAGCTGCCCTCAATTCAAACATGTTGATCTTTGCTATTAAAGGAGAGTGTTTTGAATGCAGTAGAGACAGTTTTTGTTGCTGTGCATTGTTCATATAACAGCATAGACACTGACGGATGAAACCAATGGTACGGAACTAGGGATCATCATGGCTTTTGTAAGCTGCTCAAGTGCTGTCCTCAGTATACTTGCCGCTTTTCCCAACCTCTACAATTGACTAGTTGACTTATCTTAAGCCATGTACTCACCCGAGCCCTCATAAACTGGACTAAGGTGAATCTGTCGGGAATTCTAAAAATGGTAACCGTGTCTCTGAGGAAAGGGGACAGGAATGTCATGACCCCATGTGAGTGATGTCAATCTGCTTTTTGAAGGGGAAATGGCCAACAGAAATGTGTATTTTCTTTGGCGGGAAGAGGGTTAGTTTGGCTCTGAAGAAGCTTTAGAAATGTAGAAGGCGTGCTCAAAGCGGTTTTCCATCAATTTGACCTATTAAGTTATTTGAAGAAATAATAATTTTGTGTTAAAGGGTTATCTGGGCTTGGTTTCAACACTGAATATGCCTATTACAAACTAGAGTCGTGGCATTTGAGAAGTGGTTCTTTAAGAGGCTTGGTTGGCATTATGGGTAAGTTAGGATCCAGTATTTAGGATTTGAACCCATACTTTGGACTAGAAATCAGAATTTCTTTGCTTCAATTGAATTGTAATTTGTCTCTTGTGATTCCTTCAAACTAGCATCACCTGCTAAAAAGATAGAATACCACTTTTATCACATCTACACACTTCCATTAACTTACATTCTTTATGAGATGTATACAGGTTACCTTTATACATGTTCATTTAACTGTTGCGTCACTGTAAGTAATGCATAGAAAGAAATGGCCACTGGGATATTCAATTACTTTAACATGCCATAATAAAAGCCCAACTCTGCTTTTCCTCCATTTTTATTGGACTTAATAACTGGCTGCAGTGTGAAAGATCACCCACATTAAATATCCGATTACAAGTTGAGATTACTGTGAAACAATCTGGAAGAATATCTGTATTTCCACGAGCAGGTCTTTCAGTTTGCAATAGGTTAAGAGTTCATAGAGACACTTAAGGTGGACCAAACCATTTGGAAAAGAGGGGCTTAGAGGGATCAGGCCACACTTATTGAGAGATGACTGAGAACATCTGGGATCGTTCCCAAACACACATGTACTCACACACCACCTAACATTCACAAACATTCTCACACAGACGCAGCGTTATTAAACTCATCTCTAATCTCGGATCAAACACTGCGACAGGATGCACCTCCGCGAGGTCTGTTGCTGGGCGGCGTTTGTAATCTTGATAGTGATAGAGACATGAGACACGAGGGTTTCGGTTTCCCCATCTATCTGCTTGGCTTGGGTTCCACCGCGCTGACTTGATGAACTACAATGCTGGGTGGGCTTAAAGAGGCCCACACACACACTCTCACACTTATCTATACATGTCTCTTGTTTCCTCATCCATTACCACTGTGATCCCTCTTTGGATTTTGCTACACATTTTCCGTTGGCACTGATGGACTAAGCAGATAATCAAAATGTGATACTCTGGGTGAGAAGAGGCTGTGAAATGCCATTTTCTGGCGAGGTTATCTAATTGCTCTCTCCTCTGTGTGTGTCTTCCAGGTCCCATGGCCTCCACAGAACATGGCAGAGGGCTGCAACAGGCGGCCACAGTCAGAAAAATTGTCCAGCAAAACTCTGCGAGGGGCGGCCAGAGCCACAGACCAGCCGGCTGGAAGAGGAGACGCCCACGGCCACGTCTTTCCCACAAGGGGCCCATGCCGTTCTAGAGCAAGGTGAGTTTATAGCAGTCAGAGGTGAATAGACGCTCGTTAGGTTTAGTCTGGCAAAGCATGCAATCAAACCTGTGATTATACGGTCAGTAAAAGTGGATTCTCGTAAAAAACTGTGCTATTCTCTCCTGCGTTTGACCAACTTTCTGTCAAGTCAGAGCTACTTGTTTCTCGAGGGAATATGAGCCAAAGCACTTTGCGAAATATCAAATCATATCATATCTGCTGACTAGTGAGGAAGCAATTTCAAAAATACATTTTTAAGTGGTCTAGCTGTTGAGTCTTAAAATACTTTGTTGGCAGAATCAGTAGTTTCAGTGACGAAAGGGAAACTCTTACAGGAACACTGGGAACTCAGCAGCCAAACTCAACTCCAACAAATGGATGTTTTTGTTGGCATTGAGAATAAGTGCATGTCTTAACAGATTACTGCACTTTAGCCTAACCCTTTTAAGGCATTTATTTCCTCATGTGGGAGACAGTTATACTTAGAAACCCAAGCTTTGAGTCAATTCAGCTAGCATAACTCTTTTCTCTCCATCTCATTAAGTAAATTAAACCCTTTTACCAAAGATAACACTTTTAAGAGTTGGGTTTCATGGCGGCTGCGCTTTTCCCGTGAAATAATGTTTAACTTGCTGTGAAGTAAAACAAGCCTTTGGATGAAAACTCTTTCATCAAAAATCAGAGACAATATTTGACTAATCACTTTTTCAAAGTATAGTTTTCTTTTCGGAACCTAAACAAACGCTCTGTATTTCTAGAAAAACAGATCAAGCTTCATTGAGAAACTAAATCAGTAATCAAACAAGATGATCAAATGTACACAGTGTATAAAGATGAAAACTCTCCATGCAGATGGTAGCATATCTGTGAATTGAACAAGAGCAGTACGAACTTGCATTAAGAAGGGCGAGACCCATTCATAAGTTTCTCCCAGACGCTGTGAGAGACAGGGAAACCCAGCAAGACACAATATCCCTGCAGGAGGTGCCGACTATACAACACTGACCTGCAGAGGGTCGCCATAAATTAAAGCCATAGTGAGAGGAGGCTGCAGCCAGAGAGTGTCAAGGCATGGTTAATCAGTTTTGAGGAAAAGAGACCAAAGCTATAGAAGATTGGAAGCTCCTTTCTCTAAAGCAGGTTTTACAATCTATAGCGAATTCTCAATCATTCTTTTTTTGTACTCCTTTTATCAATAAGGGGCTTTCGAGGCTTAGCACAAAGGTGAAAACAATGGGTAAGAACAGAGTCAGGGAAGTCTACCCTTGAAGGACAACGTGGGTCCTCCAACTTTCCTGGGTCTGCCAATAAAATGTGAGAATCCTCTTTGCTAGTGGAGTATTCAGAGCTTGGAGTGTTTGGTGCCAGAATGCTGGCCACAAATACGGGGAGCTTCAGGAAGTTGTGAAGCTCAGTAAAAGTGAACGGCTCAGTGAGTCACAATGCTGTCTTTGCAAACACCTCTTAAACCACAACACGCTCAAGATTTCCTTTTTTTGTCTGCTTCCCACTCGGCTCCTCTCATTCTTGTGAAGTTCATAGTTCAGCTCATTCAAGAGCTTTTTCACATACCATGCTAATTTACCCCGACGTGACCTCAGTGGGGATCAAGCTGTCCTTTAGCAGCGGTTTAGAGGTAACACTACCAAGAGTCACACAGTAAATGATCCAAGGAATACACTTCTTCACAGTTTAGTCCCAGTTTGTTCTTTATGCCTCAGTATGATGTATAATGACGGAAGGAATTCATTCTCATCTGGCATCAACCTACCCAACAGAAGGATTTTAAAGCCTTTGTTCTTCCTCGTGTGTCCTGCGTTCTTCTTCAGTTTGTGCTGATGATGGGAAAAACACCTTCTGGAAGCAGCTGGAGATGCATTGTGTTTGATCAAAGCTAGGAGACATCCAGCAGAGAGCTGGTGAGACTCAGGCAGACAGACTGTATGTGGATGTCATTATTATCCTGAGTGTAATTACTGCGCTGCTGAAGTAGACTTTAAGACCAATGATTAACTTCGCAGTGTCTGTCCACTGACTCTATGCTGTTTAGCTACATTCCCCCTTTTCAGTGTCAAGAGCAGCTCATCTCTTATTTTCTTAGACACCTGAGGCAAAGCTTGACTTTTCATCATTACATATTCCAGATGCGAGAGAAGAACGATGGTGACCCAGGTCATCCTCTTTGTGCGTCCCAGTAGACTCAGTTTCGAACGCGCTATAAGGACTCTTGGATCTAAGCTGTGCCAGTCTAAAAGACGACAGGATATTACAGATTTAGAGCCGCAGGCAATTTATGAAAACCCCTTGAGAACCCCGAGTGTGCGTAAGCTCAGTGCACAAGTCTTTCATCAAAACAATATAGAGCAGGTCTGCATCTCTTCCCATACATTCACTCTGTTATGTAGTGTGACTTCAAGGGGCTGCTGCACTGACATCATTCCGTAGACCGAAAAAGCACAAAGACGACAACAAACAACGTCTCGATGGAGATTAGACACACGGAACATCAGTTCTCGGGGCATTACATGAACGCAGAAATATGCCAACTTGAAACAAGAGCAGACGCTTATCAGTGAATGAATGTTGTTGTCATGCAACAAAGCGTACTTGTACTACACATCTGCAATCTCGGGAAATGATCACAGAACAAGAGCAGATTAAAGGCGAAGGGAGATCAAAGATTTCCTCATTGTTAAGGAATGATCCAACGCCCCTAGCGTAGCATAGCGGGGTGCTTGTGCTTTAACGGCGAGATATACAATTGTTTTTCTTACTCCCTGTCGCATTTTCCAATCAACACCATGAAATCTGTCTGGAACATGTCTGGGATAACCTTTTCTTAACTTGTTTCTAGTTTTTGCAAGATAACATAAAACACATTGAGAGCTCTGGTAGAAACTCCCTGAGGGGCGTGCTTCTAGGAAAGGAAATAAAAATGTCTGAAGAAAAGAAATGATTGTTAGGAAGCAAAAAGATAAACACATGCTGATGGCTTTTTCTCTGTGTTTTTCTTCCTGTTTTGCAGGCACTGCTTTGAGCGCCCTCCCCCAGGTTCTGATTTCTATGCTCTTCCTTTGCCTTGGGGGGCCTTGCAATGAAGGGCCTACGCTTGCCCAGCCTGAAGAGTGATGTCCATAGCACCTGCTGGTTCTTCAAGCAACTCTGTCCACAAAAAAATCAGGACAAGCCGCTCACNCAGGGAAAGGGGGTTGGGGGGGGGGTATGGAGCCCGAGCTATCAGACTCTATTTCTCTGTCTCCCTCTTTCTCTTACTCTCACTCCCTCGCTACTTATCTATCTCTGTCTTCTCCCAAGTGGTTTTTTTTTTTTTTTCACATTTTCTATAATTTGCTTAATAGATCTCAATCATAGAGTGTCTCACACACTTTGCATGACATGTGGTGGAGAGGGAGCCCGGTCAAAACAATCTGAGTCTTAAAGCATCCGTCATTTCTCCACGGTGTGTTATTCCCATCCCTCAGATCCAAGGTTACTTCAGCCGCAGATTTCATTGCTGTGTAGCTACTTAACAGCTTTACTAGTGGCAGAGGGCGCTGGTTATGTGGAAGGGCAGGGTCCGTTTAATAGTTGACAATAGTAGGTTCACTTATTGTTCTCTGGATGTCTGCTGCAAGAAGGAATTCAAAGTTGAAATTGGAGGACATTTGATGACACTATATTAATCGCTTAAAGATCATTTTTAATAGTGCTTTGTACCTCCTAACACATTCTACACGTAGATTGGACTGAAAGAGAGCACCTATTGTCATACAATCCATTAAATAGTTCCTTCATTTAGGAGATTCTTAATCCAAAGCTATTTTGGTGTTTCTCATTAACACCTTGGGGGGTTTACTGACACGCTCAAGGTTACTGTAACATAGCCCACCTTGGATGAGTCTTTTGACCCCATATCCCAATCCTGTGCCCAACCCCCAGCCTTCTCCCCACACTGCTGCCCTGCGCGGCTGCTCTTCACGACTGTTAACTGGCAGGGGAAGTCTGCTCCACCGACGGGCTGCCTTGCCTTTTAATGAAGTGCCAAATGATAACCTTCTCCACAATGCTGCCAGAAACGAAGGAATAAAAGGTTAGGGAGAAACACATTACCTCTTGTTTAAAGTCTCAATACACTGACACATTATGCATTTTACATTTCTGCAAACAGAAATCCCACGTGAGACAATGTTAGCAAGGAGGACAGTTAATTAGACCCAAAAAAAGGAAGGAGAAGAAACAGCTAATATCAGCTCAGTTAATATTCCACCACGATCAGCCTACCATTAGTGCTCTGGCTGTTTTAATATTCAGCATAAGGCTGGTTTGACCCTTTGACCGAAATCTTTCACAAACGAAATGCTATGCCTTTCCATCATACTGGAATATATTACTGTTTAGGTTTATTCCTGTGTTTAAGTAGTTGTATTTCTTTTTTCTCAGGGTGCTGTGATAGAAGCTTGTACTAGAGCAGTCTATTTTGTGCATTTATTTAACAAACCACAAACATACAGTACATTAAAAGCATATATGAGCATATTTTCGTATATTTCCTTACTCTCCCTCTATGTATTCAACAATATAGCCATGTATCCAGATTCAGTCGTTTCTAGTCATCATCCTTTCCCTACATTATGTTGGGTACAGTTGCCTTTCTAGTCTGCACAGGTGGTCGTGGCTTTGATCATTACGCTCATTAAATCCTGGAGTTAATCTTTCTCAGATGGATCTCCCCGAGGCTGGCCGGGGCCACTTAGTCTGAGCTCATTGTTAAATTGGCTTAGACTGAAACCACACCCTTCCCCCTTGTCCAATCCTCAAACCCCGCTGATTCAGTGTGTTAACATTGTAACATATTAGGACTGTAACCTGTAGAGCGGCCACCATCGTTCTTTGTGTGTTAGGTGTGCCGGAGCAACTTCCGAGTTGTTGTTTTTAACTAAGATATTAGTTGAAATTCTGTCCACTGCGATCCAATCAGCACACACTCCTGTTTCAAGCAACTGGCAGGTTAACCTAGATATTTCAAACACCTTTCCCTCTCGCCATGTCTCATGCAAATATTATAATAAAAAGTGGAGTCTTCTCAGCCCCAGCATGAGAAGCTTTTATTAAGAGAGCATCTTAAATCACAGTGGTAATCCACCCAGCCAAGATCACCTTGATTAAAAATGTATTAAATCCTTGGGCACTGTGAGGAGTAATAATTTCAGTTTCACCATTATTTTTTCATACCCTCTCAGACAGAGATGTAGATTTCATTAATGCTCCACGGGAGAGAGAGAGCTTGGCTCAGGATGTCTCATGTATTATTGGAGAAGATAGTAGGAAGATATGAGCTGGGGATAAAAGTTCAAAGCCACTGGAGTTTGGATGCTGGAAGTAGACTGGGTCATGTTAAGGGGTTCAAATCAATATTTCCCCATCTCAGAAGTTATTGTTACGGAGCCGAGCAACGTCTGTAAACCGCACTGTTCTTCATGAATGTATCCTCACCATCTGCACCAGCCATGCTGCCCTTTCAGAGACCAGAGCAAACCTATGTTTATGTAAAATACTCTTTTTAATCTTGGTCTGGTTATTAGTTAATTCCAAAAATAATTCAAAAGCCAAATATCCCACTGATCCAAAGCCTCCGGTGTCAACTAGTCCCAACTAATAGACGTGGCTTTGCTCCAAGACTTCTCTGTTTGGGTTTGCAAGGCTGCACTTTTGCTATTCCATTATGCTGCTGGAGAAATACACCCTGAAAACAAGAGTCTCTTGGTATGGAATGGTTTTCCAGTGTATTGTGACAATTTTTTTGTCTGATTCTTGTCTAGCTGGTTGTCCAAAGCTTACTTTTTTAAATACAGTGTGAAAAGCTGTATGTTTTGTGGATGTAACAAAATAGAAAAGTAGTCTGCAGCACAATGTCGTGGACACGTGAAAGCTTTCAGGCATTCTTTTTTTCTAAATCATAGCCCACAGCCCTCCCCTGCACATCAGGTTAATGGGCCTTGTGGTGTGGAAGGACAAGCACGTCCAGGCTCAAATTGAAATGGTAAACCAATACATTATGCTCGGGGAGCAAAACCATTTTCCTTAATGGTCTTTTCCAGCAAGGCTTACACAAGAGAAACGATTCCTATCCTCTCAATGTTTCCTCTCTAGTTCCTCTTCTCTGTGACCATCACAAGGCCTGAGTAATGTTCCTATGCACTTGTTAGCATGTTTTCCTGGTAGAGAAATGTTTGTTCTGAAAACTTGCCCCTTTGTGTTTAGTTATTTTTGTCCAAATGCATTTGGCTGGGAGTGTGTAAAAAGTGGGGATGACAGGTGGAGACAGATATAAGCTAGCAGCAAGTTTTAAAAATATTAGCTTAGCGATTGATCTCTGTTTCCTAATAGCTATAAACACAAGCCCCACGAAAAATGATAAAAGGAAAACATAAGGTTTTTATGTTCCAAATCATTCTACATTCTACCAGATACAATTCCTTTAATATGACACTGAGCTCAAACATTTGACTCATTGTAGAATTGGAAACAGAGTTGGCACGCAACACATTCCATGACTTTACCTTATGAATCTCTAAGCCCATCAAACTGTATCATGTTGGCCTTCAGAGTGGGTGTCTGCAAGATCAAGTGGCTGATATTCAATCCAACGCATTCACACATTTCCACCGGCTGGGCAATCCAAAGGATAACTAGATTTAATCTCCCATGGGAAATGACTAAGATCTGTCATTATCTTGGAGCCTCAAAATGAGACTTCCTGCACCCAGAATAGCACAGGCCCCTCCTGCCTTGATTGCGACACATTCTCCTTCTAACCACTGTGTCCAAGATCAGCTCCATTCAGAACAATCTGAGGAGGGATGAGTCTGTAGGCTTACACGCCATCGCATCAGTGTTACTAGATCTCAAGCAGATACCATTTTAAAAGACGATGTATTACTCCTGAAACTTATGTTCTGTTAATGGTGTGTGCTCATATTACTCACCAGGCCAAATGTACAGTCCCTGTCTCTGTTTTGATGTTGAACTGGGCAAAAATAAATGACATAAATAAATAAATAAAACAAGTGTATCAGAAATGGTTGAAATACTGTGTACATATTTGAACTTTTGGTTTCTAATTTATAAAAGATAAGCTTTAGCTCTTGGAGTACTTATTTTATTTTTTCCTTTCATGCGTAGCTTTGTGTTTTTATTTTCTATTTCTGTAAAGTGTGTAAATATATCTTTATGATAATAAGTAATATTAAAATCTTATTTTAAGAAAAAAAAACCTGTGTCCTTGTCTTTCTTGGTGGATAATGAAAATGAAGTATGAGTGTACATAAAAACTGTAAAGCTTCTTAGGCATATTGGTGCTTTGTGCTAAATGCTAATAACTATGCTAACCAACTGATGTTTAGCAGCTAATGCAGGGTTGCCAACTATGGGTACCTGGCTGGAGTGAGATTTTGATATCATGGGTTTAATTACACATATGCGCACTAAATGACTGCTATTGTGTCAGTAGCCGGACCTTAGCATATATATAGGGTATATATACAATATATACAAATACACAATATTGGACACAGACTATAAAGGGCACAAGTTTCATTCACTAATGAAAGTCAAACACATGTTTGTTTCCACTGTTTTATTGTGTGCCTGTCGCGATAAGAAATTAATTGACTTATTGTACGATAAATAAAAATGAACTCGATAAATTGTCATTTACATGAGGAGGTGACTAGCAGTTTGAAAGGATGTACTTGAATTATTATTATATATTATCATTATGTCAGTGGTCTAAAATGGTCATACAACGGTGCCGACAATATTATCGTTTATCGCAATAATTTCCGGGAAAATATATCCAACAAAATTAATTATCGTGAGAGGCCTATACATGAAACACACACACACACAAAACAAATCTACAGAGTTACTCCAAACTGCCTAATATATTAATTAACACACTCACTCTCATATACTCTTTGACTCTATTTTGGCCTAGTAGAACAATTAGCAGCAGACTTTTACTTTTTTATCATTTCTACTGGATCTTAGATCTGCGCATGCGCAATGCGGGTCGAGGATTGACCAACTGGCTCCGACTGCTCTGCTGTCTGTCAACGTTGTTAAGAGTGGTGGGGGCGGGGAGGGAGCGGATCGACAGCTTGAGCAGCTGTCAACTCAACATGGTAAAT